AGAGCCTGGCAAAAACTTCTTCACAATACTGATTAATTGAATATCAAAAAATAATAAGTAGAAGTGGAATAATTATTGTTACCATTTTGTTCAGCCCCTTCCTTGCTTGTGTAGGGAAAAATATCAATGGAAACTTTTTTCTCTAAAAGCCTTATTTGCTGTCCCATTTGTTGAATACTTTAGATTACCAGTTTATTTTGAACAAAATGCTACCACACATTTAATGACTTATTTATTTATTTATTTATACTAAGTATGGAACCCAGGGTTGCTTAACCATGAGCCACATCCCTAGCCCTTTTTTTTTTTAAAGAGAGAGGAAAGAGAGCGAGCGATCGAGAGAGAGAGAGAGAGAGAGAGAGAGAGAATTTTTGATATTTATTTTTTTAGTTTTTGGCAGACACAACATCTTTGTTTGTATGTGGTGCTGAGTATCGAACCTGGGCCGCACGCAAGCCAGGCGAGCGCACTACTGCTTGAGTCACATCCCCAGCCCCCTAGCCCTTTTTAATATTTTATTTAGAGACAGTGTCTCGATGAGTTGCTAAGTGCCTCACTAAGTTGCTGAGGCTGGCTTCAAACTCACAATCCTCCTGTCTTAGCCTCCTGAGCTAATGGGATTATAGGCTTGTGCCACTGCGTCCAGTAAGGTATATTTTTATACTCCACATCAGTATCTTCCAAATCCTATAGTTCAGAAACTCTAACAATAGAGATATTCGTGAATTTTGATGTAGCAATAGATTTTATTTCAATTAGAGGAATATTGATGCATGTTTGGATGAAACTATGAATTATATGTGTGCCATAAACAATTCCAGCTACTCCATAGGTTTCTTAATGCAGTAAGAACATTGATTTTACCACAAATACTGTGCTTCTTCAAATTTTGTACTTGTACTGTTATTATAAACTCATAATTTTATCAACACTGAACTTTTAAAAATATTTTTGTTTTAATTAGTTATACATGACAGTAGAATGCACTTTGATACATCATATATAATGGAGCATAATTTCTCATTCTTCTGATTCTATATGATGTAGAATCCCACTGGTTGTACCGTTATATATGTACACAGGGTAATAATATCTAATTAATTCTACTATCTTTCCTATACTCATACCCCCTCCCCTTCCTTCACTTCTATTTGCCTAATCCAAAGTAACTCTATTCTTCCCTAGCCCCTACCACTTATTGTATATCAGAGAAAACACTTGGCCTTTGGTTTTTTGGGATTGGCTTTTTTTGCTTAGCATGATATTCTCTAGCTCCATCTATTTACCAGCAAATGCCATCATTTCATTCTTCTTTAAGGATGAGTAATATGTCACATTTTTTATCCACTCATCTGTTGAAGGGCATCTAGGTTGGTTCCGTAGTTTAGCTATTGTGAATTGAACTGCTATTAACATTGATGTGGCTATGTCACTGTAATATGCTAATTTTAAGTCCTTTGGGTATAAACTGAGAAGTGGTATACCTGGGTCAAATGGTAGTTCCATTCTAAATTTTCTGAGGAATCTCCATACTTCTTTCCATAATGGTTGCACAAATTTGCATTCCCACCAGCAATGTATGCATGTACTTTTCCCCCCATATCTTCACCAACATTTATTGTTGTTTGTATTCTTGATAATACAAACATTCTTGCCATTCTGACTAGGGTGAGATGAAATCTTAAAGTAGTTTTGATTTGCATTTCTCTAATTGCTAAAGATCTTGAATATTTTTTCATGTTTGTTGATCGATTGTATTTTTTCTTTTGTGAAGTATCTATCTGTTCAGTTCTTTAGCCCATTTATTGATTGGGTTATTTGGGTTTTTTTTTGATGTTAAGATTTTTAGTATCCTGGAGATTAATGCTGTACCTGAGGTGCGTGTGGTATAGATTTTCTCCCATTCTGTAGGCTCTCTCTTCATGTTATTGTTTCCTTTGTTGAGAAGAAAGTTTTAGTTTGAACCCACTCCATTTATTGATTCTTAATTTTATTTCTTGCACTTTAGGAGTCTTGTTAAGGAAGTCAGATCCTAAGCTGACATGGTGAAGATTTGAACCTACTTTTTCTTCTATTAGGCACAGGGTCTCTGGTCTAGTGCCTAAGTTTTTGATCCACTTTGAGTTGAGTTTCATACAGGATGAGAGATAAGGGCTTAATTTCATTTTGTTACATGTGGAGTTTCAATTTTCCCAGCACCATTTATTGAATAGGCTATCTTTTCTCCAGTGAATGTTTTTGGTGCCTTTGTCACTCACAAAGGGTTTATCTTTGGCAGATTATACTCATAAAAATTTTACTTTGATCCCATGAATGGACAGAAAGAAAAAAAATCCAAATCATTTTTAGAATTAACTTAAATGATTTAACAATGGAAGCACCTGACAACACTGAACTAAAACTGAAATTATTTAACTATTTACTAAGTTCTTCTGCCAATGCTTCCCTTTCCAATGTGCACATAAAACCATATAGTTGAAAATGAATGACATTAACTTAGAAGAGTATTTATTTATCTACACAAATTATGTCTCTTAGAGTGGCAGGTATATATACCTTCTGTGCTGCATGTGTTAGATCATCATCTTTAGGCAGTGGTCTTAAATTAACTACCAGCTTCCACAGATTCTGATACTTCTCTAGCAAATTTGATTCTCATTTTCATGTGGTTAGTGATATCACTATGGCCTCTAAAGTGGATAGTAAATGTCAACAAACATTTTGTGCAAGTTACATGTTCCTTATCAAATTTCTCCAAACACAAAAATGTAGTACTTTAAAAAAAATGAAACATATATTTTTAGTTTTTTTCAGCTCACTCCTGCTAAAAGGACTTATAAAAACAAAGTGCTGTAAAAAATATAAAATAGTTACCAGATTTCCACTATACAAGCAAGCATGCTCAGCCTACTTTTTACTTGCTGTACAACACAAGTGACCAGTTCTGACTTCTCACATATATTTTATAGACATCAAACCTATGTTTCCCACTGAGCTTACACAGTGGTACCTGGCAGCTTTTTTTTTTGTACCAGGGATTGAACTCAGGGGCACTTGACCACTGAGGAACATCCCCAGCCCTATTTTGTATTATGTAGAGACAGAGTCTCACTGAGTTGCTTAGCACCTCGCTTTTGCTGAGGCTGGCTTTCAATTCATGATCCTCCTATCTCAGCCTCCTGAGCCACTGGGATTACAGGCATGTGCCACCATGCCTGGCTACCTGGCAGCTTTGTGACTTGTAGTCCATGCATGGATCATGGTACAATTGGTTGATAACACCAAGTAGCTAACTAGGGCAGCAGTGGCAAATAACTTCTCTCATGACTTAATACAGAAAGGAGTTATCTCAGTCTAGACATTTGTATTTAAGTGTATTTTGTGGGATCAGCAATTGCCCTGCAATGAGGAGGTGTTAATTACACTGTGTCTAAAAGGGCTGTGAAAAAGAGATGAGTTACTTACTGCTGGTTGTCTTTCAGATTTAATAACACCTTAAAATGAGAACTCTGTCCACTGTGTAAGGGTTTCACAGTACAATTAGTTTATATTAGACAAAAATTAAGCAGAGGCTAGAAGTACAATGTGGAAATCTATCAAACCTGTTGTGTCTTATTCTAATGTAATAATTAGATAATAAATCCCTGTTAAAAAATGGAAAATTCAGAACAAAAGCCAAACAAGATGGGATTTGGGGAAAGCTGTCCTACACTGAGACTGTTCTTAGCAAACCAGATGTACACTCAGGTGACCTTCAAGGAAAGGAGATCTGTCCATTTTTGCCTTTCTTCCTCTTTCCTTCCTATTGACTGGAGTGAGGCATGATGGCAACTGTCTTCGACCATGAAGTGGTAAGATAAGGAGGGCAGAACAGTAAGATAGAAGGAGCCTGGGTCCTTGACTTTGCAGAATCACCATACCAACTTCTGGATGTTTTTACATGAGAGAAATAATAAAGAATCTCCTCCCACACATACACAGGCCAATGTTCTCTTGTAGTCAAACATAAACCTGATATATAAAGAATATTTCTCCTTTACAGAAAGCAGTGCGACAATATGTATCAAGAATTCTGAAAATGTTTAAACCCTTTCAATTTATCTTAAAGAAATAACCTGGAGGGGCTAGGGTTGTGGCTCAGTGGTACAGTACTCGCCTAGCACATGTGAGGCCCTGGGTTCGATCCTTAGCACCACATAAAAATAAATAAAATAAAGGTATTGTGTCCAACTACAACTAAAAAATAAATATTAAAAAAAGAAACAATCTATAATGGAAAATCAGGAATGAGAAAATTGATGTGAAAAGATATTTACTGCAGGTCTATTTGTGATGAATAAGAAGCAGACTAAATGTTGAACACTAAAGAATTTGTTAAATAAATGACATAATATCTAAATGAAAGAATATTATGCAATTATTTAAAATGTATGAAAAATGTTTTTTTTTTTGAAAAATGTTAATAGCATGGGAAAATACCCACATTATAATAAGAGGTGCAAAGCAATACATAGGATTAAAAAACCTTATATACAAGCACATTCTTGTATATTATAAAAATGATCCCTATATATAAAAGTATAAATGAATAGCCAACAAATGACTACAAAGAAATACATGAAAATATTAACTAGGTAGTGGGATTATAGATAATATTTATTTATATATTCTTTATTTAGAATATTTTTTAATAATTTAATTTTAATAATTTAAAATTTGTTAAAAATACATTTAATTTATTTATATATTCTTTATTTGGAATAATAATTAATGAATTTTACCTGTAATCACAAAAAAATAAAAATTACGTTCAAAACTGACTTATAGCATTTACCAGTTTTCCCTGATGTTGACACTGCCATCATCATCGTCAACAAAGTTTTACTGAACATCTACATTGGGGAGTTGGGCACAGAGCGTAGAGACCTCTATGGCTCCATCTCCCAACCAAGAACCACCTGAAGGCCATCCAGGTATAAGCAAACTCTTACATTTTTTACCTTGGTGTTCTGTAGCAGGGCTAGTCCATTGCAGGCATTTGCTAGAAGAAAGTCTCCACTTAGGATAGCTATTTTATTTCCGAATTGCATGTCTTTCAGTGGTCCATCAGAAGACTGCAATTCATTTAAATTTACTATCCCACGATGTACAAGGAGAGCAGTATGGATAAGTTCTGTGATCTCTGCCAAACTTCTTTGACTAAAACATAAAGATAAAATCTGTTTGAGTATCAAGAATATAATTTTTATTACTAATGTCAGGCTTCAAGTTTTCAACAATAAAACATTTACTAGATTATTCTTTGAAGGGGGTATTCCTTTTTAATTAAGAATTTATAATAGAGGCCTTGCCATTGAGTAGTTTGGGATCTATAAGTAGATCTTGACAACGTCTTTCTCTATAATGCTCCTACACTCTACCTCACAATTCACTGGACTCCCCAGAGAGAAGCCACCCTCCACAGTTCCATTTAGATATTTTGCTCTCAGGATACTTTTCTCATTCTCATAACTTTAAGACTTCTAAGAATCCTTGGTAGTATCAACAGAACAACAATTTAAGTGGGAATATATCTGTGCCAGATATTAGGCTAAGTATTTAATGTGCATTATCATCCTAAATACAAAGTTATGGAATTTACAGAGTTGAGTTCTCTTCCTTCAGGGACTTTACCTTTCAGGATGAGAAAGGTGTACACACACACACACACACACACACACACACACACATCCTTACAATGGAAAATAGGACAGAAAAGGCCCTGAGTATAGTATTGTATTAGATGGAATTTCAGGAGATGTTTGCTTTCTTTTAAATAATTTTCTACAGTTTGTATATTTTGCACAATGACAAAAGTATTACTCTCATAACTGCACAAAAAACAAGTAGTTATTAGAGGGTGGGGATTGGTTCAGTGGTAGAGCTCTTGCCTAGCATGCATGAAGCTCTGGGTTCGATCCCCAGTACAAAAATAAATAAACAAGTAATTACTTAAAATTAAAATATCATAACAACCCTATTATAGATATTATTTACCCCTTTATGCACATAAAAAAATTGTTGCACACAAGTGAAATGACTTTCCAAGGATACAAAGTAATGTAAACTGGAAATCTGTTGGACTTTAACCATTACAAATGGCCCCATGTGAACTATATCTCTTGGTCCATGGTCCTGTGCAGTCCTTACCACATTAACCCTGGGCTTGGCCATGTACTTGCTTGGTCAATAGGACATCAACAAACATGATGCAAGCAAAGCCTAATGAATGCTCATGTAACTGACAAGCTTAGGTTTATCTAAGGCAGTCACAGGAATCACATGACCCTATGTAGAAGAACCACCCTGTCAACTTATAGAATGGTAAGAAATAAAAATGGTTATTTTCAATCACTAAAATATAGAGTGGTTTGTTATGCAACAATATATATGCAACACAGAAACTGGTATATCTAATAGTGAGGTGTTGTTGTAATCAAAACTTAAACTACATATCAATAGCTTTGAGTCTTAGAAGTGAAGGGTGAAAAAATGGCAAACCTTTGTATGGGCTGAAAAGACATTGAGGAAATTGCTCCTAGAGGACTGAGAAGGGACATACTGTGCTATAAGGTAGTGAAACAAGTGGGAAAACCATTTTGTACATGGAGTAACTTGAAAGATAACCTCTTCATACCTATATGCATATATAGATATTGAATCTAATTAACTTAGGGATCTTAATAAGATTTCCAGACAGAATGCTGTAATTATCATTATAGATAAAATGTATGAAATAAATGAGATATTGACAGAATCGTTCAATTTTCAAGCACAATTTAGAGGAACAACAAAGGAGCAAAGAATTTCTAAGCTGAAAATAAAGCTATTAATATTTTCAGTACTTCTAGAAAAAGACTCCCAAAATAAGAAAACATATTAGAAAAAAGATAAAATCAAAGGCATGGCCATAAGACCCTTTGTAAAGACCCAAAAAACTGAAAGTGGTGACTGGGAGAACTCTCAGACAAAAGAGCATCTATGAATTTTAAGGGTACTGCCCCACTGCAGCCTCATTCTCAGTTCAAAGTTCAGAGGTCTGTCTCAAAAATGAATTATGAATATGGCTTTTAGGGTACAGAATGGCCAATCAGAATCTCAAAAAAAAATTTAAAGAAGTTATGAGTTTGGGTTAAAAGTAACAGAGTTTAAGATGAGGGGGAAAAGGAGTTTCTGGATCTCCAGCTTTCTGGACAAAAAGCAGGTTGGTAGCTAGTCAGCTATAGATAGGAGCCAGTTTTTACTAAAAAGGGAAGGTAGCTCAGAGAGCAGAGTCAAGAGCCACAAAGAGGTGGATTAGGAAACAAATTCTAGGGAGTAGGACTCGGCCCTAATCATGAAGCATTCCTTGCTCACTGCCCAGCTGAATTTCAGCATTGCTCTGGACCAATATTTACTGTGTACCTCTCATTACTCCTTTTTTATTTAAATGGTGCTGGAGATTGAACCCAGGGCCTGGGCATGCAAGGCAAGCACTCTACCAACTGAGCTATATCTCCAGCCCTCATTACTCCTTTTTAAAAAACAGAAGTTGGGGGCTGGGGTTATGGCTCAGAGGTAGAGCGCTTGCCTAGTATGTGTGAGGCACTGGGTTTGAGTCTCAGAACCACATAAAAATAAAATAAAGTTATTCTGCCCACCTACAACTAAAAAATCAATATTAAAAAATTAAGTGACTATTGTGACTACTGGTTAATTTGTTCCTGCCTCAATGTTGTATACTGGATATGAGGTGGCAGTGGTGGGGTGGACTACTTATTTTTTTAGTTTCTAGATTCCTGAGTTAAGAGGAGCTGTATCCAGGGAGCCACATCCACATCTAGACCTAGTGCAAATGATGAGATCATGGACTTTGAACTCGATGCCATGAAATAGGTGAGTCTTAGGGATCTTAGGAGGCAGCACATTATGCCCATGGAAAGAATATGAATCACTGCAGCCAGGGGCAGACAGCTTACCAATAATAAACCATCTCTTTGGATTTCCATGCCATGTGTAGTCTCCTGTTTGATTGACTCTAAGTTTGATAAATATGATTTGTCTGGCCAAGGGGACATCAGCAGACTTGGGTCAAACAGGCTTGGTAAGTGTTTTACATTGGGACTTGCCTTCTTGGAATGCTGCCCTGAGACTACATGTTAAGAAACCTAGTACAGCCTCCCAGAGGATGAAAAACAACATGGAGAGAAGTATAGTCATCGGAGCCCAGCTAAGCCCCTGGCTGTTTTACCAGACCACAAAAATATACCCAGGAGAAATCAGCAGAGGAACAGTCTAGTCAACCTGCAGAATTATGAGAAAAAAATGGTTGTTTTAAGCTACTAAGGTTTGGGGCTGGGGTTGTGGCTCAGTGGCAAAGCACTTACCTTGCATGTGTGAGACACTGGGTTCGATCCTTAGCAACTCATTGTTTCCCTCTCTAACTTAAATAAATAAATAAAACAAAAAAAGACCCTTTGGGGAAAAAAAAAAGCTACTATAAGTTTGAGGTGGTTTGTTATGCAACAATGGAAAAGAGACCCTAAAATCCAATCTATTTCTACTACCTAGGCTGCCTCCCAAATACACCTCAAAGAACCTAATGAGAGCTAGGCCTTGAACAATAAAGTAGGATTTCCATAGCTGGAGAGAAAGAGCAGAGACAACAGCAGGCATTAGGAACCCATAAATAAGGAAGACCAGGAATTAAGGCCTAGGGAAGGCAAGGCTGGAAAATGTGGTGAGGATGAGGAGGTCAGTTTGGTTAGAAAAAAAAAAAAAAGCATGAGGGTTAAGTGAGAAATAGGAATCTGGAGGTAGGTTAGAGCAGGTTAAAGGGTCTGTATTTTATTAGAGAAGAGGGATGATATATATGCTTTAATAATTTAGGAAGAATATCCTGAAGGCGGTAATGTGGGAAAAAATCTGAAAAAGTGGATAGTAAAAGTAGAGAGATATTACAAAGGTCCAAGGCAAATGTGACCAAAGGGCTTGACCTCAAACCTCCTTTGGACATGGAGAAGAATAAATACATCAAATAACAAACACTTGCCCCTCTTCTCTCAAATATAGTACTTATTGAACAACTATAAAATAATAATTATATAAAAATATAATTAAAAATAAAGGAGTCAAATAACTTGGTAATATCAAAAAAATATCTCTAGTTCATTTCCTTTGTTTAAAAAATTAAAGAGAATGTAAAGATGACCCAATAGACATATTGCACTTGATTACAAACTGCAGGAATATGGAAAGGAGATGAACCAGTGAGTGAAACAGTTTCTAAGAAAAAAGTAAATTCATGGTTAGATTAAAATCTCATTACATCCCCAAGAAAATCATTAAGGATAGATGCTTATAAGACTATTGAGAAGTTAACAGAAAACATTTTTTAAGAGCAGAGCTAACATTTAAAATTATCCTTTAAAAAACAACTAAAAGAAAGGAATAAAAAGTACATCTTATTACTATCTTCAAAATGCTTTCTAGTTTACAAAGCCATTCACTGAAAAAAAAAATCCATATTGTCACATTTCAAAAATAAAATCACACAAATAAATTATGGGCAAGCATAAAACTCAAAAGGGTTAAGCATTTGGATAAGTCTCTCATGAGGCTTAGCTTGGGAAAGAAAAGTAATCACCAGGCAAGCAAGAAGCTGTAGGTGTTCTGAATTACCCTGAGGAAGAAAATAAGTAATTGTGAGCTTTTAATAAAGACATCTATAAGCATAAAAGAGCATTCATTAAATTAATAGCAACTTTTAAATGCCACAGTCAGTAGTAACAAAAACAATGATAATACTCAAAGTGAAAACCCATCAGATTGTATAGGGCCCAACATTTACAAAAAGAACTCATTTATATTATCTACTTGTGATTCTAATTACAGCAGGTCTGGGGAGGTTAAATACTTGATTGAGAACATGGAGTTTGAAAAAGAGAAAGCTGGAACTCAGAGTCACTTTGTCATAGTGACCAATGATAATTTCAAGTGTCTATTTACCTCCCAAATAGTAAATGAAGGAGAGGGGTAATAAGCCAAAGTTACCAATGTTCATCAAAAATCTGTCCAGTTTTCACCCCCAGTTTTTAAGTACTATGGAAAGAAACTTTACTAGAAGAAAATATATTAAGAACAAGTTTGGCTCTTTTATTGTGCAGAATAACTGAATAAAG